GGCTGTACATTTTTCGTATGTTATACTTCATAAAATTTGTAAGGGTCTGGGAGCACAACTCAGTAGTAGTGTTCATACTCAGTACACATGAGCCCTTGTTTCAATCCCCAGGACCACATGAAAGTTCTAAAATGTACATCTATTACAGATACATTTACATATGTATAGAAAAAGGTGATTAGGGCCACAAATCAATTTTTTTTTATTATGGCTGTGGGGAGAGAAGTCTTTTTCACTTTGAATACTTCTATAAGGCTGGACATGTTTTTATTATGATAATTGTTTCTTCTTAAAAGTAAAGAAGAAACACAATAAAGAAAAGTAAAGCTCTGCTCTGGAAGTTAATTTTGTATCTGAGGTGAACATATACATGGGTCAAGATTACAAATCCTAAAATTCTTGACCTTAACCCACAGGTCCTGGGGGGAGATAAAAATGCAGAGGAGTTAGACCAGAAAAATTCTTTCACCCACAGCAGAAGGCTTTGGGAAACCAGACTGGAAACTTTCTCTGAGGTATACATTCTGATTTCAGATAGCTTAGTCAAACAGATAAGCAAGTAAACCAGATCTGAAGGGGTCTTAAGGCCCTTTTCCCTGCAGGACAAGCAAGGGGACTTAAGATACCGGCCGTCTCTTATCACACTTCACAGAAGAATGAGAGCCTCAGAAAGAGATTCCAAAGAGGAACCCCAAGAGTGTTCCACACAGATGGAAGTTTTGAACTTCTTTACAACAGTTCCACACACCAGTGTAACTCAATATCTTCTTGGATTGATGTTCATATATGTAAATATGTGTGTATATATGTATGTATATATATATATATATATATATATATATATATATATATGTATTTATTTATTTCCAAGATGTGGGCCATATGTACATATAACTCATTGTTAATATAATTGTTTCTTTAACTCACTTTTCTTCTGCTATATTTTTAAAATATAAATTTAAATGTTATATGCTAAATTTACTTCAGGGGAGAACTTCAAATCACTGTCATAAACAGGAAACCAGTATTTCATGCCAGAGACAAAAGGTAAATATTAGGCATATATTAATAATTATTGCCGAGGGAGGATTCCTTAACTAAGACTCCTTGCACAAGTTTTCCTCAGGACCGTCTGGAAGACAAAGCCTGATGCTCCTCCTAGAGGTCTGAGTGTGAAGTTACAAATGTTCATGACGACACTGCAACAAACCCTAAGATCAGTTACGTTGGAATCAAAAGTACTAGCTTGAGTGCATGGTTTCCATCAACAGATATGTGTGCACATACTTACACGGTTTACGTATATTCACACATGTACTTCCTGTATGCTGCAAAGCTCTGTAAATAAAGATGCACCAGTAGCAAGATCATACCTTGTACTTGTGCCTTGTTTTTTTAAATCCCCTTCTCTATTAAAAGGAATTAGGCATCTTTCAGAGAAATGACAGATTCTAAGCCTAGGGCATGAAAAGTATCAAGGGGAGAGGTCTTGTGCCAGAAAGTAAGCTGCCCCCAGATGATAGGACACAGACAGAAACTGAATATCAAAATAGTTATGGTCATGAATTAAAACCTACCACCTGAGGGGGTTGGCCAAATAGCTCAGCAGATTAAAGCGCCTGCAAGCAGGCACAGGGCCAGGGGTTCAATCCCTGGGACTGCTCTGTTGGCCCCACCCCTGGGGCCCTCTCAGACTGCGATTGATACTGGGCTTGGTGGCATGAGCCTGTAATCCCAGCTCTTGGGAGACTGTAAACAGGTGCATCACTATGAGTCCAATCTACATAGTGAGACCCTGAACACCCTGTAGACCCTTCCCTAAAATACAAAAAACAAAACAAAAGAAACCCTTCCACCTGAAACAGGATTCCATGAGTCCATACAGATGCAGTACATGGTGGATGAGAGTTGTTTATTGTAGGTTACTGACTAATACATAAGAGGAGTGATAGAATTACATTGTCACTATTAGGTAATCATCAGAATACCACTGGGCAAGAAAAATCAATGGATACTACAAGATGGAAGAGGAAATACACTATACGCTCTCTGAAGTATCTTCTCACAAGATACTTTATTAATTCCTATGTGGATAAGAAATGTACAGTGGAGACATATGGGAGACACCAGAGATCAAAGTCATCAGCAATAAAAACAGGACAAAGACACCACACATATCATGAAATGCCACACAGAGAACACAGCATCACTTCTGTGTATCAGACCCAAATGCACAGCCTGAATTTCCTCAGGAGGAACCAGACCCCATTTCAGGAACATTTTACAATATACCTGGCTGATACTTTTCAAAACTGAGGATTACAAAAAGAATGACAGGGAATTCCACACTGGAGAAAACTAGACACCTAATTATGCAGAATCTGGATCAATCCTGGACAGGAAATTTTATTTGCTAATAAAAGCCTTACTGGGATCATAGTCAAACTGGAATGAGTCTGTACATGTGATAGCACTTTTATATCAATATTAATTTCTTAATTGGTTTTTTTTTTGGTGGAACTGGGGATTGAACTCAGGCTCTTGCACTTGCCAGGGAAGTGCTTATTCCACAGAGCCATCTCCTTGTCCCAATTTATTGATTTTGATAGTTGCAATGTGGATACTTAGAATGTCCTTCATAGGAGAACCTGTACTGTAACAACATGTAACTCAGTTGTGCTCCAAATTTTCTGATCAAGAAGATTATGGAGCCACAGAGAAATGTGTTTGATGAAGTATAGTGTGCCTGGGGAGAGTCACATGCAGAGAAAAAACACTTTCTCAGGCTTTCACAGAGAGCAAATTGGTCAAGCAATGGCCTTGACTTATCCTCATGGCTGACACTGACAAAAGCATGTACAAAGGGTGGTACAGGGCTACAGGATAAATCCTGAGAGTACTTGGCTGAACTTATCAGAGACAAAAGTTACATTTCTTGTTATATAGGTCTTGCTATAGCTTGGTCTTAACCATCCAGCAGAAAAGTATAAAAACGAGGTATATAAAGTAAATCTGTATTAATATGATGAGCTGTAAAAGGCTCAAGTCAATAACTTCTGAGGATAACCCACTAATATTATAGACGGCTAGACAGTGTTAGATTGTTTAGTTCAATTCAAACACCTACAGTATTTAGATGCCAATAGAATATTAATCTCTGACAGACAATAAAAAAAGGATACAAAGGAAAAATCATTTTGTATTTATATATACGAAATAGTTAAGATAAATTTACAGCTACTTTCGCTTAACTCAATGAGAAGAGGTGTACTAACAGTGTTTGGACAGAATATCCTGTCTGCTTCTTGTACTATGGATAACCACTAAGAAGATAACAATGTACAGTGTATTAATTATCAAAACTGTCCAATTAATCAGCTGTGAAACTGTCTCATTCATATTTATTTCTCAATAAAAAAATAAAAAAAGAATGTCCTTGTCTTTAGAAAATTCATACTGAGGCATTCAAGGGCAGTGAAGTGTTTTGTCTGCAACTTATCACATGGATCAGAACTTATTATTAGGAGCCAGGGAGAGGCTCAGTGGAATAATCGCACACAGAGAATTTTTTAAATGTGGTTAAATGATAACAATTAGAAGACGTAGGTGAAGAATATATGAAAGTACTTTAGGCTATTTTTGCAATATTTTTGTAAATATGAAATTAACATAAAAAACTAAAAATAAAATGGAGCATTTATAACCTGAGTCATAAAAAGTTTTATTTTTGCATGTTTAACTACCCCATCTCATCCTGAAATAATTTAGAGATTTATAAATATGTGAAAAATATGGAACAAATCAAATTGAAAGCTAGTAAGAAATGTGTGTGACCCTAGCAAAAACCTTCTAAACGGTCAAATTCTGCAAGCTAATGCTGTTTGACAGATGACGTGCAGATTTCTCTTTGAGTCTTCAGTGTAACTATGAGCTCTTTTTTTTTTTTAATGATGGCCACAGAAATTTTATTTCATTTATTTATTTATTTTTTGGTGGAACCGGGACTTGAACTCAGGCCCTTTCACTTGCCAGGGAAGCACTTATTCCACTGAGCCATCCCCCTGGCCCCGCTATCAGCTCTTTTGTGCTCCTGATAATGCTTCCACATACAACTTGACCTGCCCTTACAGAGAATGAGCAACTGGGATATGAAGGTAGAAAATGACAACTATTAAGAATTAAAGAAACTGGGGACCGGGGAGATGGCTCAGTAGAATAAAAGCTTCCCTGGCAAGCACAAGGGCCTGAGTTCAATCCCCGGTTCTGCCAAAAAAAAAAGAAAGAAAGAAAAAAAAAAGAATTAAAGAAATATAAAAGAACAAACGAGGCAGACATTACAATGTATTTTATGCATGTATATACTTTATTAACTGCATTCTAAGATTACACAAGGCCAGCATTTCACAAAACTGTTATTCCAAAAGCTAATATGAAACAGTGATTAAATATATCAAGCTAAAACAGTATCTAGAGGATTTTTCTAATTTATTATTTTTATACTTATTTTTAAATAGAAACTTGAAATATATGATATAATATTAGAATAGGAAGAAAGAATTTTACTTTATAACAATTAGTTTTCAAATATTAGACTTCATATAAAAATAAAGGGGTACTGGTAACAAAGCTCATCTGTGGGCTAGCATATCTCTTCTCTATCTCAGAACAATTTTTGCACAAACTTAACTTTCTAGTTCATTTCTTTATATACTTATTAAGTTTGCTATTAGAGACTGGACCAGAGCCTCGCACAAGATAGGCAAGTGTTCTACCACAGATTTACTCCCCCTGCCCAGGCTAGTCTTAAACTTTTTGTGATCCTCCTGCCTCAGCCTGCTGAGTAGCTGGGATTACAGGCATGTACCACTATGTCCAGCCTCTAGCCCATCGGAACAGTAACTAATAAAAATGAACCTTGGTTTAAACAAAGTGAATTATCCTGCCTCCTGGTAGTCAGCCCACTGAAACGATTTCTTCCCCAGGTTCTACCCTACCACTGGACTTGTAAAATAAATCAAAGATCATCACATTTCAATGATTATCTCTTAAAAGTCCTAATTTAGAACCTACAAATGTCCCTTTAAGGCAAAGAAGAAAGAGTGAAAGCAGACAAATCTCCTGAAAGATAAAACCATCATTATAGGGGCAAAAACATCTTAGCATGGTCCTTTTACAAACAGAATAGATACACTGAATACCATCAAAGAAATTTTCCTTTAAAATAGCACACGAGGGGGCAATTTTCCTAACAGAAGCATATATGTCAGGCTTGACAGGTTATGCACTTTGCACAGGCACAACAACCCATGAACTAAAGTCAGTGAGGGCTGTTATGGTGCTGATCATAATTTAAAAGAAAGGACATGTCTGGTTCTGTAACAGAATTACCACACTGCAAGCCAAATGATGTTCTCTAATAATGGAAAGAGAACGGGTTTCCCTTCAAACTGTTACCAGTCTCTAAGTGCCTCCAAAGCACATCATTTTGCAGTCCATGGATCTTTCCTCCAAAAGACATGAGTGCAGCAGTTTCTGTTCCTTACATCTACTTAAAATGGAATATTGTAATCTTAGTGTGTAAATGAGCATATTAAGTAGACATTCCATACACAAAGTCCAAGTACTAAAAGAAACTTATCAGAACAGACACCTACGTAGTGAAAGAAATAGCACACTAACGTAACATTAGATTATACTCAAGATTTCTTAAGTGATTCATTCAGGAGACTTCTCTCTTAAAAATTAAATAACATTTGGTATTTCATGTTTACTAGTGTGTATGCTGTGTATGGCTCAAGCAGCTTCCTTAAAGCAGAATGCACACTAACATTGATTCTTTTGACTCCTAAAAGCTTCCATATAGATAGTAAACTGCCTGTACTATAACATAGCATGAGTAAGAACTGGATTCTCACTCGGAGGGCAACACAAGAACTGAAACACCAGTCACCACACAACAAAACAGACAAATCCCATAATAAAAAGGAATCAGAACAAAGCAGCAACTAAAACAATATATGGCAACCACACAAAGCTTCCATTTTCCATGTGACATTATAATATAAATCCCTCCCAGCATGAGAATGTACCCAAGGCATGTGAGGCCTCAGGATACCACCAGAAATACTGACAGCTCCGTGGACGCCTGCTTTTGTACACAGTGGTTTGTGTAAAGAGCATTATTCATTCATTTGCAGGTGCTCCACACATCTGGTCAAGGCAGGAATTTCTTCTCCTTGGTAACACCACCTAGAAACATCAACAATATTTTATGTATTCCTTAGGGATACAGGCCTGGGGTGAGAAAGATCAAATGTAGTATCAAAGTCGTAAGGACCCACAGTGACTAATCCTGCAAGTTCAGTTACATTCTTGATGTTATACCAATGCTCACTTCATACCCTCCAACACAAGGAAGCAATCAGGGCAGTGATGGAAGCAGCTACATGTGCTCAACCAGGGAAGGGAAACAAAATGATGGACTTTAAGCCAATGCAGAAAAGTAAAACATTAATATAATCAAAAGCAATTTGTACATCACTATGGAACAAAGAGATGAGAAAGTATGTAGTTCACAAAGAACAAAAAAAAAATCTCTCAAGCAAGAGAATTTCTGATCAACTCTGTTGTATCACTGCTGGGCGAAAGAACCATTATAGAAAGTACACATGAGTGACTTTCTTAAACACAGAGATTGGAAAATAGGTGCTTACTGAGGTGTTAAGATGGAAAAAATTCTCTATGCGATAAAAAATTAGTATGTGAGATTTAGTCATTAGATACAAAATGACAAAAGCAAAACCAGACATTAGTAAGCTCACAAAATTGAAATTTAGAGGGAGGACATGCCCAAAACAACAGCGTTAGAATGGGTGACATCTGTCAGACTTCAATCCTCACTAGGGATCAAAGCTCTCTGCTTTCCTCCCAGAATGTTTTATGTGGGAAACAGCAGTTAAAACACGCAATCAGAAATGGGTAAGTCACTTGGGTGAGAGATCATCCACCTAGATGAACGGAGTGCATGAATTGGAGCATGCTACTGAAGATTCTGCAGGAGCGCTGCCTGTAGCCAGTGAGTCTGAGGACAAGGCACTGCTGTTACTACTGCAATCCATAACATCTGGACTGAGGACAAAGCAAAAAGAATTATAAGCAAATGCATCTATTAGGGTAAACATAACATGCAACAACACAGTTTCAAGGACTCACACATTGGTAGAGCATTTGTAAATAATAAGAAGCATAAAAGCAACAGCAACGAACAGAATGCACTATGTTGCGATATCTATGGAATTATGAAATGATAAAACCCCAAACACTTGGTTTTGTATCACCTGAGTGTCCCTGCCCTAGAGATGTAGTGCTGTGAAACACACGTAACTCCTCCTCCTCCTCCTCCTGACGTGCCATGGTTCTGATGACAGGTTCCTTGACCTGCCCTAACGACTTCTATCCATAACTAATTTGTCTTCTTACCATCAGGCTTGAAGTAAGAGGGATGGTTATCTATTTAGGTACCCACTTTTGGGACTGGGTGAAGGTTGCCACCAGGCATACTGCTTCCCAGTGCCTCTATCCTAAAACAAAATCTTTCGAGTGTCTTAGAATTGACTGCTTGGTCATTCTCAAGAGACCTTCAAATCTAATGCATTGTTTATTCTGATTTTTCCCTCTAATCATAAGGTTTTCATATTATTTTCTTTTTTTGAATTTCTTACGCTATTTCCTTTCTTCCTGCTGTCAAATCACAAAGGGTACCCTGCTGTCTCTAGAAGACTTCTCTTTGATCTCTCATTTTATTCTCCAGGTAAGCTTCTAAAATGTGTGCCCTCTACCCTGTCCACTCTGCCTCCTTAAACCTAGTACCTGCCTGTGTTCAGACTCTTTCATGCAAATTGCTCTGGACATCAAGTGCCTCTTCTCTGGGGCTAACTTCCCCAGCCAGCCCAGGTGCTGCTCACTGCTCCCAGCAACCCACTGCCTGCCTCATAAATTTGGCTTTCAACTTCAGCACTGAAGCCTTCACAATTTGGCATCAAACTACCCTTCTGGCTTTGATTGCCGCTGATCCAATACACAGGCCCTTTGCTGTGTGTCCTGAACTCGGTCATTTCTGTATGCTAATATTTACTGAATGCTCCCCAGTGCACAAAGTATGTTAGATATTACAGGGACAATAGTGTGAAAGACAAGTATGGTCCCTGCTCTCGTGGAGTGTAGAGAGCAGTGCAGAAGACAGACATTTAAGTAATCATGCTACTAAATGTAATTTATAATACAAATAATAAAAAAAGATACAAGGTCTAACATACGGGTCAACTGACTTAACCTGGAGAACTGGGAAAAGGACTGCTCAGAGATGCTACATGACTGTAATGTGAAAGATGAGTAGGCACTGGCTAGGGAAGGCTTGGGAGGAAGCAAGGCCAGTTCAGGAAATCAAAAGCAGGCCAGTGCGGCCGTAATCAAAGGAGTAAAGCAAACATAGTAAGAAACAAAGCGGGAGAGGTAGTCAGGCAGCTTAAAAACCTGCACAAACTTTCTTTTTTAAATAGAAAAAAAGGGTAAAATTACAAAAGGAATGATGAACTAGAAGTTCAGTGGCACGATTACCTGCCTGACAAGCACAAGGTCCTGAGTTTGATTCTTACTACCAAAAAAACAAACAAACATACAGGTTCCCGTTTAAGGGTGGCCTCTCGATGCATTTGTAAAAGTCCATTTTGTTCTATACATGGTCTAAATACAGTGTCTAAATGTACCATGAGGGGCTGGGGACATAGCTTGGTGCTCTAAGTGCCTGCCTGGAAAGTACAAGAACCTGGCTTCAGTCCCTAGTACTGCATGCCGTGCTGGCCCCAGAAACCCTGGGCACACCATGCTGACCACCAAAACTGGGCATGGTGGTGCACGCCTGTAATCCCGGCCCTGGGGAGGCTGCAAACAGGAGGATCACTATGAGTGAGTCTGAGCTGCGTAGCGAGACCCTGTACCAAATAAATAAATAAATAATTTTAAGAAATTAAAAAGAATAAATGCTCTATGAGTCTCTAATATTGACATTTTATGAATTTCCAAGTTAATGTACTTCTGGTGTTATATAACCTATGATACATCTACAAGACTATGGGCCATATACAACCCTTAAGTGAAATAAAATCCCCCTTTTCAATTCTCTACTATTGTTTAAAATATAATTTTTTTCCTCTTGTTTTACTTGTTTGCAATGCCGAGGATCAAACCGAGGGCCTTCAACATGCTAGACAAGTGCTCTACCACTTAGGTGTACTCCCATGCCCCATTGGCATTTGTTTCTATTGCTTGTGGGGCTTTTTTTTTTTCAGAACTGGGGATTGAACTCTGGTCCTTGCGCTTGCCAGGGAAGTGCTTATTCTACTGAGCCATCTCTCCAGTCCCTGGTTGTGGGTTTTTAGATGGAGATAGACTACAAATAGGAATTGGAAAAGTAAAAGTAAAAAATGGAAATAGTATATTCCACACTAATCCTACATCATACTCACTGCTGTCAAATGCATCATTAATAATATGACTTTTAAGTAAGAAGTTTGGAAAATGTAGTTGGCTCTGAAATGTGTTCAAACAAGTGGCAAAATAGGTCTAAAATATAAATTATTTAAACTACTGAGACTTGTACAGATAATCCAAGACTCTGGAAAATCAAAAGACCTTTCTATTTGCCCTTGGAACGTACGGGACTTTTCCTCCTGCAGCTTTTTGCCTAGACTAATATTAAAATGAATTTACTTTCTTAAAGCACATAGCGGCTGGGCAGCTGAAGGACACACACTTGGCAGGAAAAAACAGGCTTAGATGAAAATATGGCTACTGTGCAGATAATCTGAATATAAATAAAGAATTCTTTATTCCAACTACCAGACTGATGGTGAGCCCTGGGTTAAAAGATTCCATTTGGATTAAGAGGTGCTTGCTGGGGTCAATTTTGAATTCATTCAAAAACATAAAATATGACTCTTGTGCTGAAATTTTTCTACTAACATAATATCGATCATCTTAAAAGAAATAAGCTAGGGTTGGCCATATAGCTCAGTGGACTAAAGCGCCTGCTTAGGCAGAGCGCAGGGCCAAGTTCCATCCCAGTGTGCCGTGCTGATCCGCCCTTGGGAAGCATTGAGATGGTGACTGAGACAGGGCGTGGTGGCATATGCCTGTAATCCCAGCTCTTGGGAGGCTGAAAACAGGAGAATCATTATGAGTCTGATCTACATAGTGAGACCCTGTGCACCCTGCAGACCCTGCACCAAATATGTAAAAAAAAAAGAAATAAGCTAATGAAGAAATTAACAAAAATTATTTAAAAACCTAAATATTTTATTAAAAAATTTCCTATTATTATGTATATATAATTTTGTTAACAAAAAGTTAGCATACTTATGTTTACACTCCAATGCAACTTAGATGCAGGACTTAGTACAGTTTTACGTAGACATTTTTACTAAACTAAAATCTAGTTTCTGTTCTAATAAATCTGGCCTGACCACCTAGTGGCATGGAATCAGCAACTACAGATCATAAGTCACCTAGTTCTTAGCCATATAAAGTAAGACTTACATAAATTCTGTAAGCCACAGGAGATGACTACAAATTTTCAGACTGACCAGTATTAAATCTTATGCCAGAGCTTCTAACAGCAACAAAATCTGTTCTGATTTGAACTCCTCTCTTCTCATTGTTGCTTAAGCTCTGGTCAAAGTGCTAATGAGCCTTATTTCCAGCTACTGGCTGATGACTGGAGAAAAATCAAAGGACTTAGGCAACTGACAGTGGACATAAGAGTACCTGAATCAAAGGGAACTGATTCATTCTAGGCACTAAATAGCCAGATTGAGGCAATAGAAGGACCACAGAATCCGAAGTACCCTGATTGTGCAAGTAGTACGCTTGGTGTAGAAAAACTAAGAGGGAATAAGCAAGCCAATCGTTAACATATTCTAAGGGCATAACTAGGATGTCCCATGTGATGCACACAATCACCTATTTTCCTGAGCTCATGCACCTTCTCTGCCCAATAAGTGGGTTTCTATTAGATGAATGGCAGACGGGTAATACACTCGACACTAGCTACAGCAGAAGGTGAAGTTCTGGGCATCCCAACACCCCTTCTTAAGAGCTGAACTAGAACATATGATTTCTGTCTCTGCTCTCCTACATTAGAAAACCCAGCAGCATTACCACTCCAAATACCACCCAAGGTTTTCAGCTCACAT